CCGACTTCAATATAGTTAACTCACGTACCGTCGCCAAAGCCTCCAATATTAGAAAAACGATGCTGTCGATTTGTTCCTCATTGACACCAAATTTGTTTTGTTTTGTAAAAGCAAATAATTGTGAATTGTACACCCGACCCGAAAGGGTTAAAGTTGCAAATCGTGGAAAACTTATAGTTCAAATTTGGTAAGGCTAAAACATGAATTCTTTGGAAGTCATTAATTGGGAAATATAGATATAATATATATAATGTCAGGGATCATGAGCGCCCCCGAAAATCTGCTTCAATCTGAACTTGAACTGTGTTCAAGTATTCGACAGAGCAAGCTGCCTACTCTGCTCCTGCTCTGGGTCGTTATTTGCTCGTATTTGCTTTGAGCAAATAAGGACCCAGCTGAAACAGGGTGCATTAAAAAATAAAACATAAAGGAACGAGGAATTTTAATAATGGAGGTACACAAATCACTCGAGGAATCATTTAAGCCCTTATCCTATCTCAATACGGCAGCTAGAAGTGCAGTGCAATTGTTTTTAAATCATTGTTAAAGTAAAATTGTGAAGGTTGTGAACATTCTTGTGATTCTCCACATGACGCTGTGTAAATTTTAGCCAAGCTTAGCATTGATGCTAATGTTTAGCATCGGAACGCTGGGTCCGAACCGACGGGCACATTTTGGCTGGCCCCGGTTGGTCAAATTAACCAACAACAACACTTTTCAGCATCACTTCTGAACGTAACTCTCTTCTTTTCACCAGAAACTTCCACAACCGGGGAAGTTTGTTCATTGAGAACTTTGAACGAAGTAGTCTCTTCTGTAGAAGTAGAACTCAACGTTGTGCTTTCAAATATAGGGATCTCCAGACTCGAGAAAGATTCTTCTTGAGAAAGACTGGAGGAATCCTTTCTTTTTAAGAAAGCTGAAGAAAATGGATGGACAGTTGTAATTATGGTCCCTTACACTTTCTGCAAGTTTTTTCACTGTCCATTAACATGTCCATCCATATCGTGGTGACTAAGATCTCTGGATACTAAAAATCGGGAAGAGTTACATGCTGTCACTCAAGAAAAGCGACAGCAACCCTGTTCAGCATCAGTTTGAAATCTAACTTTCTTCTTTTCACCAAGACACAGGAAAAAACAATGTGGCTCCAATTGCATTCATGTTGAAAGACATTGTTAAACAGAACTGCAACTGAAACTTGAGGTTTTGAGATCAAGTTTTTATAGTTTTTATAGCCTCAGAAGTTCTTTGATCTATGACATACTTGAGCTCGGGCTAACAGGCTCTGTTGACGAGGAAGATACATATGAGGAATCTGTCCATTCTCCAGTTCTTCATCACTAAAATCATCCGTTTTCTTTGCATGTCGGGAAGGCCTGAAAAGAAATGCATTAAAAACGTCATAATCATCAATTGTACCCAGTGGAAAGACTTTCCTCTGAGTACAATCCTTCTCTAACCAGAGTCATCAACCCACTCATCCAGGAAGGGAAGTCTTTCCTCTGAGCTCTCTTCTCCAGCCAGAGAAGGATTGTAGAGGAAGAAATCAAATTCTTCCTCTTCCTCGCAGGATAAGTGTCCTCATCCTGCGATGATGTGACAGCTGTCCCTGCTGTCACACAATAAGGGTAATTGTTTTCTGTTTTTCTTTATTACTTTATAGATTTGTACAATGAAAAGAAATGCATTAAAAACGTCACAATCATCAATTGTACCCAGTGGAAAGACTTCATAGAATAACATCATAGATCCAAGGTTCCTCAGAGGAAACACTTTCCTCTGAGTACAATCCTTCTCCAACCGGAGTCAACCCAATTGCATTCGTTTTGAAAGACATTGTTAAACAGAACTGCAACTGAAACCTCAGGTTTTGACATGCAAGTTTTTATAGCCTCAGAAGTTCTTTGATCTATGACATACTTGAGCTCGGGCTAACAGGCTCTGTTGACGAGGAAGATACATATGAGGAATCTGTCCATTCTCCAGTTCTTCAGCAAAGTTTTTCCTTTGAGAACATTAGAGGAACCCTTCCCCTGGACTTTGCTCTCTTTCTGAGACCGGTGTTCTAATGTTTTTGATGGAGCAGAAGTTGAAGCTTTGTCCTCTTCTTTGTCGTCATTAGAGGTTAGATCAGTGACACGGGGAACCTTATTGTGGTCAGGCAGTATTTCCTCTGACGTTAGGTCTGAGATGTGGTAGGTGGTAGATTCACTGGAGGAATCCGTCCATTCTCCAGCAGTAGTTTGTTAAACATTTTCCTTACTCCTGTTTTGATGAAGTATCCAGCTCCAAAAGATAGAGGGAAAAACATGGTGACTAAAATCTATGGGCAAAGTAAAAATCAGGCAGAGTTACATGCTGTCACTCAAGATAAGCGACAGCAACCATTTTCAGCATCAGTTTTAAATCTAACTTTCTTCTTTCACCAGAGTCTTTTGTTTTTGGTCTTGGTGAAAGTTTTCTGAAAAGTTTCCTAGCCAGCGAATGTAGAAACATTAGAAGAATACTTCTCCTGGACTCTGCTCTCTTTCTGAGACCGGTGTTCTAATCTTTTTGATGGAGCAGATGTTTTGGCTTTCTCCTTTTCTTTGTCGACTATATTTTCTCTTCCGAAGAATCAGAAGTCGAGGAATCAAAAATTGGTATTTCCATACTCAAAACTACTGCTGAAACGCTCACTTGATGAAGATTCACTGGAGGAATCCGTCCATTCTCCAGCAGTCTCTTCATCTGATTCCTCTTCTGTCAAATCAAATTCTCCAGCCGGAGTAGTTTTCTTTGCAGGTGTGGAAGGTCTGAAAAGATATGCGTCAATAACATCATAGACATCAATCCAAGGTTCCTCAGAGGAAAGACTTTCCTCTGAGTACAATCCTTCTCTAACCAGAGTCATCAACCCACTCATCCAGGAAGGGAAGTCTTTCCTCTGAGCTCTCTTCTCCAGCCAGAGAAGGATTGTAGAGGAAGAAATCAAATTCTTCCTCTTCCTCGCAGGATAAGTGTCCTCATCCTGCGATGATGTGACAGTAGTTGGCGTGGTGGGGTGGTTTCCAGGTGGAGGGGTTCCTGCAGGAGTCTGAGGGCGGACAGGCAGCAGCTGTGTGGCAGGTGACGTACCCAGGTGCAAGGCCCAGTGGAGCCGCGAGGATCAGATTCTTCAGGTGAGTCTGTCTCAGAGGATGTTCAGCATGGGTTCACTAGAGGAAGGAGTAGATTGAAAAGAGTCAGAAACAAAGGAGGACACTGGAAATACATCACTGACGCTACAGAGTACCACAGTAGAAGCGGAACCATCTGGCATCTGAATCTGGGAAGCCGCTCCTCTTTAAGGACCTTGCAAATTGGAGGTGATGTGTAACAGCTGGATTTCATCAGCCTGCCTCCCTGTGAAGAAGAAGAAAACCACTCCCCTGCAAAACCCAACAGTTAAGTGACAATAAATGCTATCTATCTATCTATCTATCTATAATCTTGTCCATCTTTGAAGTGTTCCAGGTTTTGTAGTTCTGGAGGTAGAGAAGTTGTAGGGTGATCCAAATGCATAAAAATGACTTTATGTCAAAAATCAGATAAAGATTTCTACCAGGTATGTCACATACCTGGTCGTGGATGATATGAAAATTTTCCGATTCATCCTTAAAGCTATGCATCTGAAGCACAGCCGCCCTCCGTCTATCTGTTCACCTGTATAAATAATCTCGCCATGCTGGTCGAACCAGCAGCTCCGGGAAGAGAAAAGCTGCCGTACTCCAAGCATCGCTCCTGTCATTAAGGATGCTCATTGGGCCCCAAGAAACGACAAAAACCCGGACATTAATCCTCCCAGGCCAAACTTGAACAATGGACCTTATGCTGCTAGCAGTTAGCTTTCGTCAACGACTCAGGCGGAAGTGAGAGCGCTGCTCAAAGCAAATAACAACCCAGCCGAAACAGGGTGCATTAAAAAATAAAACGTAAAGGAACGAGGAATTTTAATAATGGAGGTACACAAATCACTCGAGGAATCATTTAAGCCCTAATCCTATCTCAATACGGCAGCTAGAAGTGCAGTGCAATTGTTTTTAAATCATTGTTAAAGTAAAATTGTGAAGGTTGTGAACATTCTTGTGATTCTCCACTTGGTGATAACTGTGTCATTTTTTAGCAAAGCATTGATGCTAATGTTTAGCATCAGAATGCTGGGTCCACACCGACGGGCACACGTTGGCTGGCCCCGGTTAAATTTCTTCAGGAATTTTCCATCCATATCACCATGACTAAGATCTCTGGGCATGCTAAAAATCATGCCCAGTGTTGTTGTTGGTCAAATGAACCAACAGCAACACTTTTCAGCATCACTTCTGAACGTAACTCTCTTCTTTTCACCAGAAACCTCCACAACCGGGGAAGTTTGTTCATTGAGAACTTTGAACGAAGTAGTCTCTTCCATAGAAGTAGAACTGAACGTTGTGCTTTCAAATATAGGGATCTCCAGACTCGAGAAAGATTCTTCTTGAGAAAGACTGAAGGAATCCTTTCTTTCTAGAAAAGCTGAAGAAAATGCAAGTTTTTTCACTGTCCATTAACATGTTCATCCATATCATGGTGACTAAGATCTCTGGATAACTAAAAATCAGGCAGAGTTACATGCTGTCACTCAAGATAATCGACAGCAACCCTTTTCAGCATCAGTTTTGAATCTAACTTTCTTCTTTTCACCAAGATCTTTTTCATTGGTCTTGGTGAAAGTTTTCTGAAACGTTTCCTAGCCAGGGATCATTAGAAGAACCCTTCTCCTGGACTTTGGTCTCTTTCTGAGACCGGTTTTCTAATCTTTTTGATGGAGCAGATGTTTTGGCTTTACCCTCTGCTTTCTCCTCTTCTTTGTCGTCGTTTGACTATATTGTCTCTTCCGAAGAATCAAAAGTCAAGGAATCAAAAATTGGTATCTCCATACTCGAACTACTGCTAACACGCTCACGTGTAGAGGAAGATTCACTGGGGGACTCCGTCCATTCTCCAGCAGTAGTTTGTTGAAACTTTTCTCACTCCTGTGGTGATTAAAGATCCAGCTCCAAAAGATAGAAGGAAAATCATTGTGGCTAAATCTCTTCCATTCTGAAAGAGCCTACCTGTCCGCCCTCCGGCGTGCTCCCGTTACCTCCTGGAGTCTTACCGACAGCCATCACGATCACCTGGACCCACAAAGAACAGAAGACCTCGGACATTGCAGTCAGCCTCTCTCTCATCTCCTACCTGCCGTCTACAAGTAAGATCTGGCCATTCACTCACCACGTTGCCATTTCCCACAAACCTGAACTCACCATCCGACTCTGACCCTCTAGTGAACTGTTCGTTTTCTGAACCTGCCTCCCTCCCAGGACCAGACCCGAGCCCTCTAAACCAACCAGCAGTGTTTTTCAATAAACTTCTCTTTTATTTCACATCATCTCCTGTGTGGTGTTCTGCAGGTGGGCTTGAAAATATTTACACCCATCATGACATGCACTGAAAGCAGTTCTTTAAACTATTCAGACTAGAACACAACAGAGACACAATTAAATCTGTCAGATTTAATGATTTATTACCCCGTGATAATTACTCAGAAACAATCCAAATTAGGATGTATTTTTATTTATTTCCTACTTATGGGACATTTATGTTTATATCATAGGTTTTTAGTGCCTTTCTGTCAGGAAAAGATGTAAAACTTCAGCTATTTCACAAAGAGTTATTAACATTGATGAAAAATGTCACATAACTTTGTATTAAAGCAGAAAGTACAGCGGATTAAACAATTTGTCTGAGACATTTCTTTCAGGAAATGGCAAATTTGATGTGTGTTTGCAATCATTTACTAACTGGTACACTCTGCTGGATTGAAGTTTTACTCATCGGACACAAAGTGACACTTCAGACAGAATGAGAACAGCCCAGAAATCACAAAGGCAAAACCCAATGTACGCACTTTTTATCTAATGTACATAAAATCTTTTTGTTCTGTGGGAGGAAGCCGGAGTACCCGGAGAGAACCCAGTCATGCTCATGGAGAACAAGCAAACCTCTTGCATAAAGAACCCAGGCCAGGATTCAAACCCAAGACCTCTTTCTGCTGTCATAGCAAATCAGTTTCCTTAATTTATGAACGATTTGGTGGATTGTGAAATTTCCATCATGGGAGAAGACTTTAAACACCTTGGTGTTCATCTGGACAACAGACTGGACAGTGAAGCGTCTATAAAAAGGGACCAAGCAGACTGGAGGAAGCTAAGATCCTTCAAGGTTTGCAACAAGCTGATACCCCCGTGATAAACTAAAGAAAATGGGTAATTACGCTCTCTTACACTTTCCGCAAGTTTTTTCCACTGTCCATTAACATGTCCATCCATATCATGGTGGCTCAAAGCCCTAGACAAACTAAAAAGCAGGCTGATCTAATCAGGCTATCACTCAACATAAGCAACAGCAACCCTTTTCAGTATCAGCTTCAAATTTGACTTTCTTCTTTTCACTAAGATGTTTTTTTATTCGTCTTGGTGAAATTTTTCGAAAACGAATCTTACCCAGGGATCGTAGAATATTAGAAAATCGCTTACTCTTCACTTTGGTCTCTCTCCGAGACCGGTGTTCCATTCTTTTTGATGGAGCAGGTGTTTGGCTCTCTTCTTGGGAGGCGGAGTCCAAATTATCTCTTCCGAGGAATCAGATGTTGAAGAATCAAAAATCGGTATCTCCATACTTGAGCTTGGGCTGACTGGCTCTGTTGAGGACGATTCACAGGAGGAATCCGTCCATTCTCCAGACTCTTCGTCACTAAAATCATCTGTTTTTCTTTGCAGGTTGGGAAGGCCTGAAAAGATATGCGTCGATGACGTCATAGTCATCGTTCCACTGTTGCTCAGAGGAAGAGGAAAGACGTTCCTCTGAGGGCAATCCTTCTCCAGCCGGAGAAGGATTAAAGAGAAATGAATTAAAATCATCCGGCCACTCTTCCTGGAAGGGAAGTCTATCCTCGTCGCTCTCTTCTCCAGCCGGAGAAGGATTGTAGAGGAAGGCATCAAAGTCGTCCAGGTCCTCATCCTGCGATGAAATTTCAAATGTGATGCTTGGCAGGAACGTTTTGAATGTTCTTCTGATCACAGTGGTGACCAGATAACCAAGCCCGAAAGACACAGGGATAAACATTGTTACCAGAATTTCATTCATATTGAAAGACATGGCTAAACAGAACTACAACTGAAATCTGAGGTTTTGAGATGCAAGTTTTTATAGCCTCAGAGATCCTTAGATCTATGACATAGCAGTATGTCATAGACCTATGTCATTGATGAGGTCATAGCTACAATGAGCTCACTGTAGTTCTGGGCAATGTCTTCCTTCTGACCGTTGCTATGGAAACAGTCAGATCAGTTCTTTCCTGTTTCTTTCCTCAGTAAAAACTTTCAATTCAATGACAGGTTTGGTTTCTATCCTTTGTTTATGCAGCCAACCACTCAGCATCCCATGACCATCTAAAAGACACAAGAACAAAATGGCTGCTGTCGGGATCGACCCTTATGTTGAGACAGAGAAGAAAAACATGTCAGACCATCTGCCTCCGATCTCCGACTTCAATATAGTTAACTCACGTACCGTCGCCAAAGCCTCCAATATTAGAAAAACGATGCTGTCGATTTGTTCCTCATTGACACCAAATTTGTTTTGTTTTGTAAAAGCAAATAATTGTGAATTGTACACCCGACCCGAAAGGGTTAAAGTTGCAAATCGTGGAAAACTTATAGTTCAAATTTGGTAAGGCTAAAACATGAATTCTTTGGAAGTCATTAATTGGGAAATATAGATATAATATATATATGTCAGGGATCATGAGCGCCCCCGAAAATCTGCTTCAATCTGAACTTGAACTGTGTTCAAGTATTCGACAGAGCAAGCTGCCTACTCTGCTCCTGCTCTGGGTCGTTATTTGCTCGTATTTGCTTTGAGCAAATAAGGACCCAGCTGAAACAGGGTGCATTAAAAATAAAACATAAAGGAACGAGGAATTTTAATAATGGAGGTACACAAATCACTCGAGGAATCATTTAAGCCCTAATCCTATCTCAATACGGCAGCTAGAAGTGCAGTGCAATTGTTTTTAAATCATTGTTAAAGTAAAATTGTGAAGGTTGTGAACATTCTTGTGATTCTCCACATGACGCTGTGTAAATTTTAGCCAAGCTTAGCATTGATGCTAATGTTTAGCATCGGAACGCTGGGTCCGAACCGACGGGCACATTTTGGCTGGCCCCGGTTGGTCAAATTAACCAACAACAACACTTTTCAGCATCACTTCTGAACGTAACTCTCTTCTTTTCACCAGAAACTTCCACAACCGGGGAAGTTTGTTCATTGAGAACTTTGAACGAAGTAGTCTCTTCTGTAGAAGTAGAACTCAACGTTGTGCTTTCAAATATAGGGATCTCCAGACTCGAGAAAGATTCTTCTTGAGAAAGACTGGAGGAATCCTTTCTTTTTAAGAAAGCTGAAGAAAATGGATGGACAGTTGTAATTATGGTCCCTTACACTTTCTGCAAGTTTTTTCACTGTCCATTAACATGTCCATCCATATCGTGGTGACTAAGATCTCTGGATAACTAAAAATCGGGAAGAGTTACATGCTGTCACTCAAGAAAAGCGACAGCAACCCTGTTCAGCATCAGTTTGAAATCTAACTTTCTTCTTTTCACCAAGACACAGGAAAAAACAATGTGGCTCCAATTGCATTCATGTTGAAAGACATTGTTAAACAGAACTGCAACTGAAACTTGAGGTTTTGAGATCAAGTTTTTATAGTTTTTATAGCCTCAGAAGTTCTTTGATCTATGACATACTTGAGCTCGGGCTAACAGGCTCTGTTGACGAGGAAGATACATATGAGGAATCTGTCCATTCTCCAGTCTCTTCATCACTAAAATCATCCGTTTTCTTTGCATGTCGGGAAGGCCTGAAAAGAAATGCATTAAAAACGTCATAATCATCAATTGTACCCAGTGGAAAGACTTTCCTCTGAGTACAATCCTTCTCTAACCAGAGTCATCAACCCACTCATCCAGGAAGGGAAGTCTTTCCTCTGAGCTCTCTTCTCCAGCCAGAGAAGGATTGTAGAGGAAGAAATCAAATTCTTCCTCTTCCTCGCAGGATAAGTGTCCTCATCCTGCGATGATGTGACAGCTGTCCCTGCTGTCACACAATAAGGGTAATTGTTTTCTGTTTTTCTTTATTACTTTATAGATTTGTACAATGAAAAGAAATGCATTAAAAACGTCACAATCATCAATTGTACCCAGTGGAAAGACTTCATAGAATAACATCATAGATCCAAGGTTCCTCAGAGGAAACACTTTCCTCTGAGTACAATCCTTCTCCAACCGGAGTCATCAACCCAATTGCATTCGTTTTGAAAGACATTGTTAAACAGAACTGCAACTGAAACCTCAGGTTTTGACATGCAAGTTTTTATAGCCTCAGAAGTTCTTTGATCTATGACATACTTGAGCTCGGGCTAACAGGCTCTGTTGACGAGGAAGATACATATGAGGAATCTGTCCATTCTCCAGTTCTTCAGCAAAGTTTTTCCTTTGAGAACATTAGAGGAACCCTTCCCCTGGACTTTGCTCTCTTTCTGAGACCGGTGTTCTAATGTTTTTGATGGAGCAGAAGTTGAAGCTTTGTCCTCTTCTTTGTCGTCATTAGAGGTTAGATCAGTGACACGGGGAACCTTATTGTGGTCAGGCAGTATTTCCTCTGACGTTAGGTCTGAGATGTGGTAGGTGGTAGATTCACTGGAGGAATCCGTCCATTCTCCAGCAGTAGTTTGTTAAACATTTTCCTTACTCCTGTTTTGATGAAGTATCCAGCTCCAAAAGATAGAGGGAAAAACATGGTGACTAAAATCTATGGGCAAAGTAAAAATCAGGCAGAGTTACATGCTGTCACTCAAGATAAGCGACAGCAACCATTTTCAGAATCAGTTTTAAATCTAACTTTCTTCTTTTCACCAGAGTCTTTTGTTTTTGGTCTTGGTGAAAGTTTTCTGAAAAGTTTCCTAGCCAGCGAATGTAGAACATTAGAAGAATACTTCTCCTGGACTTTGCTCTCTTTCTGAGACCGGTGTTCTAATCTTTTTGATGGAGCAGATGTTTTGGCTTTCTCCTTTTCTTTGTCGACTATATTTTCTCTTCCGAAGAATCAGAAGTCGAGGAATCAAAAATTGGTATTTCCATACTCAAACTACTGCTGAAACGCTCACTTGATGAAGATTCACTGGAGGAATCCGTCCATTCTCCAGCAGTCTCTTCATCTGATTCCTCTTCTGTCAAATCAAATTCTCCAGCCGGAGTAGTTTTCTTTGCAGGTGTGGAAGGTCTGAAAAGATATGCGTCAATAACATCATAGACATCAATCCAAGGTTCCTCAGAGGAAAGACTTTCCTCTGAGTACAATCCTTCTCTAACCAGAGTCATCAACCCACTCATCCAGGAAGGGAAGTCTTTCCTCTGAGCTCTCTTCTCCAGCCAGAGAAGGATTGTAGAGGAAATCAAATTCTTCCTCTTCCTCGCAGGATAAGTGTCCTCATCCTGCGATGATGTGACAGTAGTTGGCGTGGTGGGGTGGTTTCCAGGTGGAGGGGTTCCTGCAGGAGTCTGAGGGCGGACAGGCAGCAGCTGTGTGGCAGGTGACGTACCCAGGTGCAAGGCCCAGTGGAGCCGCGAGGATCAGATTCTTCAGGTGAGTCTGTCTCAGAGGATGTTCAGCATGGGTTCACTAGAGGAAGGAGTAGATTGAAAAGAGTCAGAACAAAGGAGGACACTGGAAATACATCACTGACGCTACAGAGTACCACAGTAGAAGCGGAACCATCTGGCATCTGAATCTGGGAAGCCGCTCCTCTTTAAGGACCTTGCAAATTGGAGGTGATGTGTAACAGCTGGATTTCATCAGCCTGCCTCCCTGTGAAGAAGAAGAAACCACTCCCCTGCAAAACCCAACAGTTAAGTGACAATAAATGCTATCTATCTATCTATCTATCTATAATCTTGTCCATCTTTGAAGTGTTCCAGGTTTTGTAGTTCTGGAGGTAGAGAAGTTGTAGGGTGATCCAAATGCATAAAAATGACTTTATGTCAAAAATCAGATAAAGATTTCTACCAGGTATGTCACATACCTGGTCGTGGATGATATGAATTAATTTTTCCGATTCATCCTTAAAGCTATGCATCTGAAGCACAGCCGCCCTCCGTCTATCTGTTCACCTGTATAAATAATCTCGCCATGCTGGTCGAACCAGCAGCTCCGGGAAGAGAAAAGCTGCCGTACTCCAAGCATCGCTCCTGTCATTTTAAGGATGCTCATTGGGGCCCCAAGAAACGACAAAAACCCGGACATTAATCCTCCCAGGCCAAACTTGAACAATGGACCTTATGCCGCTAGCAGTTAGCTTTCGTCAACGACTCAGGCGGAAGTGAGAGCGCTGCTCAAAGCAAATAACAACCCAGCCGAAACAGGGTGCATTAAAAAATAAAACGTAAAGGAACGAGGAATTTTAATAATGGAGGTACACAAATCACTCGAGGAATCATTTAAGCCCTAATCCTATCTCAATACGGCAGCTAGAAGTGCAGTGCAATTGTTTTTAAATCATTGTTAAAGTAAAATTGTGAAGGTTGTGAACATTCTTGTGATTCTCCACTTGGTGATAACTGTGTCATTTTTTAGCAAAGCATTGATGCTAATGTTTAGCATCAGAATGCTGGGTCCAAACCGACGGGCACACGTTGGCTGGCCCCGGTTAAATTTCTTCAGGAATTTTCCATCCATATCACCATGACTAAGATCTCTGGGCATGCTAAAAATCATGCCCAGTGTTGTTGTTGGTCAAATGAACCAACAGCAACACTTTTCAGCATCACTTCTGAACGTAACTCTCTTCTTTTCACCAGAAACCTCCACAACCGGGGAAGTTTGTTCATTGAGAACTTTGAACGAAGTAGTCTCTTCCATAGAAGTAGAACTGAACGTTGTGCTTTCAAATATAGGGATCTCCAGACTCGAGAAAGATTCTTCTTGAGAAAGACTGAAGGAATCCTTTCTTTCTAAGAAAGCTGAAGAAAATGGATGGACAGTTGTAATTACGCTCTCTTACACTTTCTGCAAGTTTTTTCACTGTCCATTAACATGTTCATCCATATCATGGTGACTAAGATCTCTGGATAACTAAAAATCAGGCAGAGTTACATGCTGTCACTCAAGATAATCGACAGCAACCCTTTTCAGCATCAGTTTTGAATCTAACTTTCTTCTTTTCACCAAGATCTTTTTTCATTGGTCTTGGTGAAAGTTTTCTGAAACGTTTCCTAGCCAGGGATCATTAGAAGAACCCTTCTCCTGGACTTTGGTCTCTTTCTGAGACCGGTTTTCTAATCTTTTTGATGGAGCAGATGTTTGGCTTTACCCTCTGCTTTCTCCTTTTCTTTGTCGTCGTTTGACTATATTGTCTCTTCCGAAGAATCAAAAGTCAAGGAATCAAAAATTGTTATCTCCATACTCGAACTACTGCTAACACGCTCACGTGTAGAGGAAGATTCACTGGGGGACTCCGTCCATTCTCCAGCAGTAGTTTGTTGAAACTTTTCTCACTCCTGTGGTGATTAAAGATCCAGCTCCAAAAGATAGGAAAATCATTGTGGCTAAAATCTCTTCCATTCTGAAAGAGCCTACCTGTCTGCCCTCCGGCGTGCTCCCATTACCTCCTGGAGTCTTACCGACAGCCATCACGATCACCTGGACCCACAAAGAACAGAAGACCTCGGACATTGCAGTCAGCCTCTCTCTCATCTCCTACCTGCCGTCTACAAGTAAGATCTGGCCATTCACTCACCACGTTGCCATTTCCCACAAACCTGAACTCACCATCCGACTCTGACCCTCTAGTGAACTGTTCGTTTCTGAACCTGCCTCCCTCCCAGGACCAGACCCGAGCCCTCTAAACCAACCAGCAGTGTTTTTCAATAAACTTCTCTTTTATTTCACATCATCTCCTGTGTGGTGTTCTGCAGGTGGGCTTGAAAATATTTACACCCATCATGACAGGCACTGAAAGCAGTTCTTTAAACTATTCAGACTAGAACACAACAGAGACACAATTAAATCTGTCAGATTTAATGATTTATTACCCCGTGATAATAACTTAGAAACAATCCAAATTAGGATGTATTTTTATTTATTTCCTACTTATGGGACATTTATGTTTATATCATAGGTTTTTGGTGCCTTTCTGTCAGGAAAAGATGTAAAACTTCAGCTATTTCACAAAGAGTTATTAACATTGATGAAAAAATGTCATAACTTTGTATTAAAGCAGAAAGTATAGAGGATTAAACAATTTGTCTGTGACATTCTTCTTTCAGGAAATGGCAAATTTGATGTGTGTTTGCAATCATTTACTAACTGGTACTCTGCTGGATTGAAGTTTTACTCATCGGACACAAAGTGACACTTCAGACAGAATGAGAACAGCCCAGAAATCACAAAGGCAAAACCCAATGTACGCACTTTTTATCTAATGTACATAAAATCTTTTTGTTCTGTGGGAGGAAGCCGGAGTACCCGGAGAGAACCCAGTCATGCTCATGGAGAACAAGCAAACCTCTTGCATAAAGAACCCAGGCCAGGATTCAAACCCAAGACCTCTTTCTGCTGTCATAGCAAATCAGTTTCCTTAATTTATGATCGATTTGGTGGATTGTGAAATTTCCATCATGGGAGAAGAATTTAAACACCTTGGTGTTCATCTGGACAACAGACTGGACAGTGAAGCGTCTATAAAAAGGGACCAAGCAGACTGGAGGAAGCTAAGATCCTTCAAGGTTTGCAACAAGCTGATACCCCCGTGATAAACTAAAGAAAATGGATGTAATTACGCTCTCTTACACTTTCCGCAAGTTTTTTCCACTGTCCATTAACGTGTCCATCCATATCATGGTGGCTCAAAGCCCTAGACAAACTAAAAAGCAGGCTGATCTAATCAGGCTATCACTCAACATAAGCAACAGCAACCCTTTTCAGTATCAGCTTCAAATTTGACTTTCTTCTTTTCACTAAGATGTTTTTTTTATTCGTCTTGGTGAAATTTTTCGAAAACGAATCTTACCCAGGGATCGTAGAATATTAGAAAATCGCTTACTCTTCACTTTGGTCTCTCTCCGAGACCGGTGTTCCATTCTTTTTGATGGAGCAGGTGTTTTGGCTCTCTTCTTGGGAGGCGGAGTCCAAATTATCTCTTCCGAGGAATCAGATGTCGAAGAATCAAAAATCGGTATTTCCATACTTGAGCTTGGGCTGACTGGCTGTGTTGAGGACGATTCACAGGAGGAATCCGTCCATTCTCCAGACTCTTCGTCACTAAAATCATCTGTTTTCTTTGCAGGTTGGGAAGGCCTGAAAAGATATGCGTCGATGACGTCATAGTCATCGTTCCACTGTTGCTCAGAGGAAGAGGAAAGACGTTCCTCTGAGGGCAATCCTTCTCCAGCCGGAGAAGGATTAAAGAGAAATGAATTAAAATCATCCGGCCACTCTTCCTGGAAGGGAAGTCTATCCTCGTCGCTCTCTTCTCCAGCCGGAGAAGGATTGTAGAGGAAGGCATCAAAGTCGTCCAGGTCCTCATCCTGCGATGAAATTTCAAATGTGATGCTTGGCAGGAACGTTTTGAATGTTCTTCTGATCACAGTGGTGACCAGATAACCAAGCCCGAAAGACACAGGGATATTTATTTTTTGAAAGACATGGCTAAACAGAACTACAACTGAAATCTGAGGTTTTGAGATGCAAGTTTTTATAGCCTCAGAGATCCTTAGATCTATGACATAGCAGTATGTCATAGACCTATGTCATTGATGAGGTCATAGCTACAATGAGCTCACTGTAGTTCTGGGCAATGTCTTCCTTCTGACCGTTGCTATGGAAACAGTCAGATCAGTTCTTTCCTGTTTCTTTCCTCAGTAAAAACTTTCAATTCAATGACAGGTTTGGTTTCTATCCTTTGTTTATGCAGCCAACCACTCAGCATCCCATGACCATCTAAAAGACACAAGAACAAAATGGCTGCTGTCGGGATCAACCCTTATGTTGAGACAGAGAAGAAAAACATGTCAGACCATCTGCCTCCGATCTCCGACTTCAATATAGTTAACTCACGTACCGTCGCCAAAGCCTCCAATATTAGAAAAACGATGCTGTCGATTTGTTCCTCATTGACACCAAATTTGTTTTGTTTTGTAAAAGCAAATAATTGTGAATTGTACACCCGACCGAAAGGGTTAAAGTTGCAAATCGTGGAAAACTTATAGTTCAAATTTGGTAAGGCTAAAACATGAATTCTTTGGAAGTCATTAATTGGGAAATATAGATATAATATATATAATGTCTGGGATCATGAGCGCCCCCGAAAATCTGCTTCAATCTGAACTTGAACTGTGTTCAAGTATTCGACAGAGCAAGCTGCCTACTCTGCTCCTGGAGACATACCAGGACCAGGAGTTTACTCATGCAGTTGTGTCGCTACTCAAATTGTTACACAACATCCCTTCACTGTAAAATATGTGTCTGTGGTTGAGTAACAATGTTAAGTCATTTCCTGTATTGTTAGATTTGGAGGAGCTAATTTTATTTGCATGTGACACAGCTGCGACTTCATGTGTTGTTTTCACAAAAGCCTCTCACAGGTCATTTGCAAGAAATGGTAAAAAGGAAGCAAAAGTGAGCTTAGCAAAATGCAATTTATAAATAAAAGTAACCCTGTATCTAAAATAAACTGAGGAATTACAGTGTTTACATTTTTCAAAATGACTCCAACCCTTAGTTAAGATTTTCCAGCTGTAGGTGCTGTGGTGATGCAGGGATTAAGCACAACCCACATATGGTGGCTTTAGTCCTCGACGCGGCTGTTGCAGGTTCCTGACCTGGTGACCTTTGCCGCGTGTCTTCCCCCTTCTCTCATTATGCTCTTTGCTGTCGGCCTGGAGCCGACAACAAAAAAAAAAAAAAATCAGGCTGAGTTTGTTTCTCATGTGTTTATATAAACACAAAGAAAAAGTTATCAAAATCCAAATGACAAGCGTTCACAACGTATGCAGCTCTTTGCAAGAGCTGACCGCACACAGTTCACTGTCGACATCTGCTGCACATGAATTATTGTGAGATAAGAAACCTTAGAGCAAACCGAGCACAGGTCAGCCGAGCAGGATGACGCTTTTTCTGGAAGCGTCATCCTGGAACAATAAAAAAGTGGGACTTCCAAAATGCTGAGGGGAAAACAGGACAGTCATGCCCCGGGGCATGAGCTGCTTCAGCCCTTATGAAAACAAACAGTTGGAGGGGAAAGTTCCCTTCTGGTTCGCCAGCACTCAAACTATACGAGTTCAGTGTTCCCCAGTAGTTCTCTCAGGATATTGTTACTTACAGGAGAAGCTTTTTCTTTCTACTCCCAAAGTTTAGTTGTTTTTTCTGAGCCAGAGAGCACGTTTGAACGTGGCTGATGTGTTGGTGTGTGAGACCTTCAAGAAAGATAAAGCAGTTCACACTCTGCCTCCTTATATTCTTGATCTAAAAGATTAGTGCGTTCATCTTTGTTTTTCACAACCTGTCAGTGAAGATTGACATTCCTTTTTGTTTCTACCCTTCAATAAAAAGATCAAAATCCTTCTTTAGGGTTCAAAAAAACACAACACAGTGCAGTGGTTGCTTTCTCAGTCTCTTAAGTCTTGTTAAGAGAGCCGTTCCTCTCTAACCTCAGTGAGCCACTTCCTGTCATGAGATGCCTCACTTCACTTCTCGGCCGTTTCTCAGAGGCTCAGAGGAATCAGGAGGGGCCTCTGCCCTGTGCCCGTCACCTTTACCGCACAAGATGCACTCATTTCATGTGACTTGTTTTCCTTTCTTGGAAAAAGCCCTAACCCTAAACGTGAAGAGATGAATAAAGACGTGCCAGAAATGTGAAGCATAAATGTTAGGAGACTGGTGGTGCAATGAATTAAGGAGAAACAGCTGGAAAAACTTTTTTTATGTACGTTTCAAGACCCATCGTGAAGTCTCTGCTGGTGTTCCTGCAATGTTACTGAAAAAAACAGTAAAATACAATGTTTGTTTATGAATGAAGCCCTTCCTGTTTGTTTGTTGTTTTTTATGAATGAAGAGACAAAAGAGGAATTGGCTGGTTTCACTACTCGCCAAGGGAAATTACATCAAAAAATCCACTGATTTTCCAAATGATTTTCATGTCTGCACATTAACTTTGTAGCTCTCCTCAGAGTCAAAAAGTTCATTCCTCATAGTTTTCTTATTCTTATATGAAAAACAACCAGGGTAAACTGCATTTGTGAAATGATTATGTAAGTATACTAATTTATACTTAATTGGTTATATTGATTAAATGTCAATATTCTGTAATATTAACATTTTTAAAGCAAAGGTGCTTTAAAAGTTGGCGTAAAAGGCCATTAATAGTGCCAATTTCCAATTAAAGTCTCTCCATTTACAAAATAATGACAAGTGTTACGTCATGATTATGACAGTGTCATGTCAGTCTTATGCACACCCTGTCAAATAAAGTGCTACCATGAGCCAAACACCAGTCTGACCCACACCAAAGAACTTATTGAAACACAAAACATTCTGCACTATATCTGTTAGATATAATATAGATTATATCCAACAGAGGGTCACAGGAATCAGGAGGTGCTTGTGCCGTCGTCCCCTTTTCCGCACAAGATACGCTCATTTCATGTGACTTGTTTCCTTTTTTTGGTGAACACATGAATAAAGATGTGCCGGAAATGTAGCATCTGAATGTTATGAGACCAGTGCGTATGTCATTATTATGACATGACATAATAATAGTACTAATAGTAATTAGTACTACCACTAATGTAGTACTATGACTACATTATAGTAGTGTGAGCTGTAATAGAAAAAAAGCACAGATGAAAAAACAAATTTTTTTTTGTATTGATAACATCATGTCGCCTGTTTTTGTGAATGAAGGCCACGAGGTTTATGTTCTGTGCAAACAGGAAGTGAAGATATGTGCCTTATCTTTATCCAGTTTCATTGACTGGTCATGTGATCAGAGTGCAAGTAGAGTTACTGGTGACTCACCAGTGGTGACTATTATTTATTGTTCAAAACAAATTGTTTCAATTCTTTAATGTTTTCCATCTAGTCAGGCAAACTTTAACGTTATGGACATTTCTGACAGATATTACGTAATACTTGAAATATAAATAAATGAAATACCATTCAGCTGGCTTACTTCAGAGGTCACCTCATTTGTCGTCCACCTGTGTATAATTTAACTTTTAGTGTAAATACACCAATGCTGTGGTTTGATAGGAAACTAAGCGAAAAGCAGCAGTGGTTAATATTTCAGTGTCTGCTAAGCAGTCAATAGTGATTTCTTTAGAAAAAACAAAGGTTTTCTAGTAGAAAGGCTTTTATTGTCAGTTTTGGACAGCAGTAAAAAAACTCAGGAAAACAGAAAAAAATAGATAGTGTTTGTAAAATTATAGCATACATAATAAACATATAAAAACATGATTACAATCGTAACATGTACATGTAACATATAATTTAACCTCTATACGAAGTTCTTAACTTACTTTATGTTTCCATCCAAAATGCATTTAAAATGGAGTGAAACTAAAGTTTTAGCTTCATCAGCTGGAGTGAAAATAATGCCATCTAATCCGACTATCAGATCTTGTTTGGATAATAATAATAATAACATTTTGTGACAGACTGAAAGTGTCAAAGTGCTTTAAGGTTTGACCTCAGCTACACCAGAATCATGAATTGATCTGAGTTTTCCTCTGCCTTGCAGGTTCACCCAACAAGGAGAAAATCTAAATGTTTCAATTGATTCCCCAAAAAAACTGTTTCACTCGACTATCAAAATGCTTTTGGATGGCAGCATGTAAATTATATATTTATTAAAAGATAAATATTGTCACTTTAAAAAAAAAAAAGGCCTAAGTCATTTTTGCTAAAAGTGATTTTTAGCAAAAATCGGGCCATAATTTTAGGAAAGTGATAATATTTAATATGCATTTTCATCTGCATAAAGCAGCTGCTTTTTGTTCTATATATTATCAGATATTCTTTTACTTTCTGTAATAAAAATAGATACCCACATCAAAAAGAAAAAATACAAAGAATTACACTCCTTTTTGTCAAAATGATAGACTGCCTGGCCAACAAAAAAAGTTGCCTCAAAATAAAAGTCCCAATGTTGTGTTTATCTGCCGTTATCTTGATTATAGCACACATTTACTGTGGCATTGTTCTCATAAGATTCTGATTTAGCTTCATCCAGGGTTACATACATTTTTCACAAAGATCTTCTATTGATGATGGGAGAGTTTCACCGCTGCACAAAGTTTTCTATGAAACATCCCACAGGTTCTCCGTGGGGCTGAAGGTCTGAGTTCTCGGTCAATATGTATGGAAAATGTCTCTCGCTGCATGAACCACCGTTTCACAAGTGGAGCCTGATAAATCCTGACATTGTCGTCTTGGAATGTGGTTCTTGCCATCAGAGAAGAAAAAAAAAATCAGGAAATTCAGACTCTTTAGGCATGTTTGTTTTGGTAGATAAAACCAAATGGGAGAGACGAGCAATGAGAAATGGTTTGTGAGTTTTTCACCAGACAAAAGGGAAATTCTACATCTTCAGACGTTTTTGTGTCATTTCCTTCAGTGGTTCTCGTTGCGGCGCTTCTGCCGCAAAAGAGAGTGAAAAGGTTCAGCGTTTCGAAGTTTGGTTTGACATGGTGCATTGTGAAAGTGAACCACGCTTGCTGAAAAAGGGAGGATTGTTGCAATTGTG